GCCGATCCGGTCGTCTGTATGGGCCCGAACATGGACCCGTCAAATCTGTCAAAATCAAGGTCGAAACAAAACCGCCAAAACCCCACACAGTTTTAGCGATGCGGTTGAGTTCCTCCAAACTGTAGCCAGTTGCTGCTTGTTTCGAACACGAATCAATCAAGTTGCACTTTCTACGTTCTTACCAAGTGCAGCAGCAGAGATCTTTGTGGCGGACACTCGTTCTTTTTGGTTTTCTTGGTCAATATCTTGGAATTTGAACTGGGCCCCGCAAGTCAGGTTTTTACGTGCTTTGTGCATTGCCCTTCAGAGTTGTTCTGTCTGTCATAATTGCAAAAGCAACTAGAATCCCCGCATTGACATCTGGAGTGGCAAAACGAAAGTCAAACAAAGTGCCTCGTACAAGCACCAGGAAGGACGCTGGAAGCTGTCTCAATCGCATGGGTGAAAGTTGAGACAACTGCACCTTGACGTTTCTGTGACATCTCGAATTGCAGATTGATTTTCGCAGTCGCGCTTGCTTGGTCGTCTGTTGCTGCCTGCGGCATTTTCACAATCCCAAACAAAATTTGAAAAAATTCTCTGGCGCTAACGCGCCCTCGTTCACGTAGAAATAGAGGCTGTAAACTCCAACGGGAATCTTTGAGCGTGTGCGCGCCAGATTCGCACGAGCACTGCAGTCAACTCGGTCTCTGCTTGCTGCAAAAAACTGCGTTATCTCGCAAAGGACCCATGTTGCAACATGTCTTGTTTCTGCATTGCGTTGAAGGCTTTGAAAAGGCAGCAAGCGCCAGAAGACTTGGTTTTCAAAGTCTCCAGTGTGTTCGAACAAACAGGTTGACAATGTCCAGGACAACATTGGTGCCCAAACCTAACATCGACCGCAGCCACTCGCCACTGACCAGTGACTACTCGCCACTTGCAACTTGCCACTCGCCACTTACTGACTACTCGCCACTCGCCACTCACTGCTCGCCACTTGCAACTTACTGACCACTCAATCGCGCCAATGGGCTGGAAGACATGGTAAAAGGCTCGCTCGCCATGCTGGCTGTGAGGTGATCGGAGTGGCGTCAAGACGATGTTTAGGCCTGAAGCAGACAGAAATTCGCCGTGCCAGGGATGTGGGCACAAGGGCACGTCCGACGTATTAGAAGAATTTCCGGGCTCGAAGTTGGATGGCGTGCAAGAGCACCGACAATACTGTAAGCAGCAGAGAAAGCTTCTAAAACGACTTCAGCTCTTAAAACCGTGATCAAACGTGAAAGTTTGTGCGGATGGACACCTGGTGATCTTACTCACGCTTTCTCCATCGGAAGCTCACGAACGCCACCGCCTTGGCCTTCTTGCACGGAGTCCGCCAAGCTCAAGTGCACAGCAACGGAATTTGCTCCATTGCAGGGTCGATCTCGGTTCACATCACCAACACCGCTCTCGAAGGTGTCTCCGCCCTCTTAGCAGAGACTTTGCATTTTGTTTGTTAAAGCCAGAAAAGCAAAAACCTACATTAACCTGGGAGGCGGAGTGCCAGCAAATTCCATCATTGCTAACCAGAAGAACAAACAGTTTGTAGCACCGCGATTGTTGTTGAAGTTTTGCATAAAGACACCCAAGTTGGTCAAATCTTCAAATTTCTTGTGTTAAAGCAAGCAGCAGCCGGGTTTCAACCACATCGCTGAAGAAAACGGTTGCTCCGTTTGCAGATCCAAGAACGAGCTTAAAAGTGTGGTGCAACGTTCGATAGAGCAACACAAGTCCATCAAATCTGTTAAAATGTCGAAATAGGTCTGGGTCTGGAGGTCCTGCACCCGCAATAAACCGGCAACTCCAACAGACGAGCAGACAGAATGTTGCAATGTAGTCCATCCTAAAAAAATAAAAAAACCACAAGACACGTTTCGCAAATCCATATCATGCATCTGTTTTGCTCCTTTTGGATGATTTGATTTTTTTTTCTTTTCACCTAACCAGACTAAAAAGTCTTCACGCTTGTGCACTGTGCATTCCACCGCCGAGGGCGCGGGTGCAGGAGTGCCTAAGACAGAAAACCAATAGGTCTCTTGCCACTCTCTCTCTCTCTCTTCTTCTCTTTGTGCTGGGTTCTTTTGAGAGACGTTGCCCGTGACTCAGCCTGCACGAGGACTTGCACACGTGCTCGTATGTTTTTTGTTGTTGAACTAGTTCATTAATTGCACAATAAAGAATCATGTCCTATTAGGCGTTTTCGATTTATGGCAGCCAAATGAGAGCAAGTCAAGAAAAAGTTGAAAAGAATGAGAAAATAGAATTCGAACTTTTTTGCTTTAGAACACGCTTACCCGAAACTGCATTGCGTGCAAGAAAGTAGTTACTTTCTTATTTTGGATGTTCTGTAAGGCTGATATCTGTTGCGCGGCTCAGTTTTCAACGCGGAAACAAAATTCCCAAAATTCGAGCGCTGTTGCGCCCTAATTCAGAATCAAAGAGCAAGAGGCTTTGAAATCTGATTTGCACAATGAAGTCTTGCTGGTTTAGAGCCTGTTGCCTAGAAGCAGAGTCAGAAGTGTTGCGAACACACGCTCTTTAAACCAAATAAGAAAAGTAGAAAAAGCCGTGGTAACAACTTAGAAAGCAAGAACCTCCCAAATGACAGGATCGCAAGAGAGCCAAAAGTGGCTTTTGGGACATTGTGAACCAGAGTAATGTCAAGTTTGAGAGAAGGACAACATCTAGAACGTTGTCGTCTTGCATAAGGACACAAGGAAATAATCCGAAAGGAACTTTGAAGTGTTAGCTGAAAGGCAACAGTTCTGGAAGAGAAGTTTTCTGGAACGTGAAAGAAGAGGCGCGGCAGAAGTACGGAGAATGCTTGCAGAAGCACAAGATGAGGATCAGCCAAGACAACAAGAGAACATAAGCAAGGCAAAAAAAGTTGTGGACTTCGTGTGCCCGACGGATACAAGCCAGAAGTTTAAGTACTACCTGACGAAAGAAAGAGCAGACGACAGGAAAGAGTTTTTTTGCGTCACAAGCACAAAGAAAGCAGAACACTTTTTGCATGCTGCACATGCAAATGCTGTGTAGCAAGTTCTCACTTGCACCGTTGTGTTGTCCTAAAACGAAAATGGTTGAACCATAACATAAAGAGGCCGGCAGCCACCAGCTTGTTTGCGTTTACGTCGTTTGTGAAGCGTCGTGTTGCACATCTCCGAAGGTGTGCACATTTAGTCCTCGTTTTCGAGCAGCATTTTTGCCAGCTTGGGAAACTGCCGAAGCTTCTTCTAGAGGTTCAATTCTGGATTTGATACCGGTAAGAGCGCTTTAGAAACGCCACTTGTGTGCATCATGCAGCTTGAAGAAGCACAGTGCTGCTTGTGAACAACGCCCTGTTAAAAGGTTAGCTTTCGAAAATCATGTTTTTTTCTCTGATGTTACCATCGCCCTGAGTGCGGTTATTTTCCATCTTCAGTTCTAGGACGGAACAACCCTTGTGGTGAGGCGGGCCTGAAACGAAGAATTGGAAAAACACACAGCTCCGTACGCTAAAGTATCATCTTTTATGCTGTGTTACTCGTGGAGACGTCGGTTCTACCTGGTCAATGCGCAGAATCCGCCTTGTTGATGCGTTTGGAAAACAATCCCAGATGTTTGGAGGTTCAGGCCCATTCACGAAAGGTTTCTTGTTTTGGTGGCAACGTACACCTGCTGCGCTTCTGCGAGCAGCAAGAGTGTTGCAGCTGTTTCGGTTGGTCGCGTCCGTCTTTTGATCGCTGCAGCCGCTTCTCCTTCAGGCTTTTTTACCCTTCGGCCGGGAGTTGCTGTCATGGCGTGTCCGTCAGTGAAGCTTGATTTATGATGGAAGATGCATCGCGTTTGCGGGTAGCGCGTTTGATTAACGGTGAACGCAATACAACTTCGAGCTCAGAGAGCAAGCTGGACAGCTGAGGAAAACCCTCTTGGCGGCCTTTGCAGTTTTGAGTGTGCAAGCTCATGCGATTTCCAGGAATTCGCAAAAGACTTCGCTCGAAGTGAGCACGAATACCTCCAGCACATGCTCTTGCGACATCACGGCGCGGACTCTCGATCTTCAAGTGCTCAGGGTCTGGGACCTTCTCAAGTCCTGTCGATTTGGAGTCAAGAGTCGATGGGTTTCGGTTGACACGGACTCTCTGTTCAACTTGGTTTGTTGAAGAGGCAATCTAGATTCGACAGATGTTCCTTCCTTTGCTTCTGCTCCCACTAACTGAAACTCTTCCCATACTGTACCTTGGACTCGTATTTCTGGTCACCAGCCTCCACATCGTGCTGTGAGCGTATTGTCGTTACGTCCTTGCTGCCATACTTATCCTCCTTCTGATCGTTGCTGTCTCTGCTAGAAGTCTCTGCTGGTTGGGCTGTTTTAAGACAAGGATCAAATCTTGTTTAGATTTCCTTTCCATGAGGTCTTGAAAATCCAACGGCCAACGCATGCTGGGTACGGCGGATTTTTCGGGATTCACATCGTTTCGCACTGGTACTCTGTACAACGCCTGCTACAACTCTTCTTGCCTCATTTCTCCACTATACATGGTGCCTTCAAACACCTGATTAGCTGTCATGGCGCTCAGCGGACCTAGTACCGCTGTTTTTTTGCAACCGTACTTCTGTGATCCCCGGAGCCAGGGTGTCTCCCATTTTCAGCTTCTGTGTGCATATGTGTCTCCGTGTCTTCCTTGCTGACTGTGTTGTCAGAGCTGTGTCGGTCGGTCGCTCCTCATCATGATCATCTTTAGCCTTAGCGTCCTCCGTGCCCTTGTCAGATGCACTATTCCGCTTAATGATGTTTGTCATCTTGATCGTGAGGCTGTTTTTTTTTTTGCTTTTCTTATGTTACTTTGTGATTATGCTTTGTACTACTAGTCCATATGTACATGCATACGTCTTGCTTGCATGGATACATTGATGCACACATTCATGAACAGATGCGGATATGCGCATTCGATAGCATTATGCATCAGGAACGCAATGTTCTGATGCCCTTTCAGGGATGACAAAGCCGAGTTCGACCAGTGCAACTTTTGGGGCGACCCGCACTACACCGCCACGTGGGGCTCGGACCCACGTTTTGACTACCAGGGGCAGGGCGCGCAGCCAGGCGGCAAGAGCGAAGCCGTGGTGCAGGGCGTAAGTTTTTAATTGCGGTGCGGAAAAAATTCCGTCAGGAGCCATTCTCCGAGGCTCCGAAGTGCGAGCCACGAAACCCTGTACATTTTATGTCCAAGCCCAGAACCCGGCAGCTTCCCTTAATTTCCCTCACATGGCACAGATGCTGCACTTGTTGGACCCAATCAAGCACAGGCACCGTAAGATCTTGAAAAATGAGGCACGACATCATCTTCAACAATCTGTGCCAGCTCTTCCACATGTGTCTCGGCTCTCAGCATCTCTTATCGTGTCGCTGGGGAGCTTTTCGTTGACAGTCATATGGCTCTGGTCATGTTGGTTTTCCTTTGTAAGCGGTGGGTGATAAACGCCAATTCAATGCATTTTGTTAGCTATACAGGTCGACCACAGCACCCACTCGGGTTCGGGTGATAGATCTTGGGCTTGGGAGAACAGTGCCTCAAATTCACCGTTCGATGTAAGTCACTTCTGCTAAGTAACTATGCCAGACAGTACCCCTGCCCTTTCTACACACCGCCAAATAAAACATAAACGCATGTCCTACAAAGTGTAGCAGGACCTGGCACCAGTACTTACGATTTTGGGTCAAGCCTGATTGCCGTAATTTCGAATATGAAGCCATC